TAAAAAGTTAAAAGAAAATTAATATATATATATATTTAAGATAATAAAGTTAACTCTGATAAATTCTCTGTATTATAATATAAGAGAAAAAAGAAATAGTTCATATTGAAATAAAATTTCCACTTACAAATAATCCTCCATTAGTCTTTCATCCTCCATAGAAAAATAATTCCAAGGATTACTGTACTCCATCCATAAATAATTATTATCATTGAGACACGGTGGTAAAATATTGTTAGTACATATATAAGAAAAATTCTTATCGTACAATGGACAATAATCACTGACAGGACATTCCAACCATTTTTTTTCCGTACAACATTCAAAAGGATTCATATAAAATTCATCTATATTATTTTGTTGTTCAAATGGTATACGAGAAGAAGATATATGAGAAACGGTCTCGATCGATTTGATTGTATCATCAATTGGTACGTGATTATCATTAATTGAATTCGTTCCAATATATTTCGGGCATGATCGGCAATTAGAATCCGACGAATTGGACGAAGGATTGTTCGTACGATAATTTCCACGATATAAACGTTGAGTCGATGTTAATCGAGTAATACGAGTTAATGGTGGTTCTTGAGTTTTCGTTAAATTGTCCTGTTGAAAACATATGGCCAGGTCTTCGACATCTATGGGTCCAGATTTGCAAGATTTCATCAAATTGGAATTGTCATTGTTAACTATACTGTTTCGAAAAAATTGTGATCTATGTTGATCCGGGTTTATGATGGATTCTTGTTCATTATCGATTATCGTAGTCCTCGTTTTCATTTTCCTTACGACAGTAGTAGTAGAAACAGGATCAAGATCATAAATCGAATCTTCCGATGACGACATCAAGATCATCCCGTTATCATTACTTCCACCATCATCCGTAAAATCGGCGTAACCTGACTCCCTACCAATCCAATCACGTTGCTCACCGGTGCTTCTTGGTCCTATCGATCTATCGATCCCGTTATCGATACACATCCAAAGCGCCATATTCATTGTGATCAATCAAACCTAACTTTAACGGCTTTTCTTGCACTTATATTCAATTTACACCGCGATCAAACACTATATCTTTTTTTTTTGCTCTATATTAAGAAATATTTATCGTAACACACAACATTCAGAAAATAATTCACTTTTTTAACTTATCTGATATCAACGTCCATGTGCTACGCGTATGTATGTTCCACGATAACTTATTCTTCTTTTTATTTTATTTTTATTTTGTAATTTTTATCCTTTACTATTGTCCAATTAATTGAACCTTCGTTTCTAATTAATTAGATTTTCTTTTTTTTCTAGTATTCTTATTCTTCTATTTCGTAGTATATTTTCTTTCCCACGAATTGAATAATTACTCTGAGGAAAAAGAAAATAAACCGTATTCGATCGTTATTATTTTTATTGCCGATCGGATCGTCCGAATCGATCGATTTCACGAGAAGAATTTCGTATCATGGCCAAGAATGATCGTCACAAAACTCGTTAAACACCGTTTCTATCACTGTTTCTCTTTTTTTACCTCTGACTTACTGTGACTCCGGTTATTTTACGATCCACGACGACGATCGAAATGATACTAATCTCGATACGGTAGCATTGTTCACTCCTTGAAAAACCGTAAACTTTAAACGATCGCTATCTACTCTCGATAACGCGATATTACCTATCATGGCCGCTTCTTGTCACAAATTCTTTCTTTCTTTCTTTCTCTCTCTTTCTCTTCGAATTATTTTATATTTTATTATTTATATATTTTGTACTTTATATGTAACATTTATTAAACCCTTTACCATGCACATACTCACATAAAATCTACACATTATTCATTTGCAAATAAAAGAAAATATATAATGTAACCCTATCCAATTGAATTAAAATTTTATTAATCATTATCATATATTAAGACATATGTTTTGTTTTTTAATTTTAAACCGATCATTTAATCGTTCATTGTAGGAATAGGTTAACACGAAGGAACGGTATGATTTTTAAGGTGTTTAATTAAAATCGATTTGTCATTGAAATAAATTATGATTATTTGTTTCTTTCTGACACTCTTAGGGAAACAAAATGTTGTAAACTTTAAGAGATTTTTCGTTACAACGGTAAAATAGAATAATTCTTTCCAAGTCTATAATACAATAGATCTGCTTTTTTTCTCTACCGATCATAGAAAACAATCTTTCATTTTTTTCCCGATAAGGCAATAATGAAGAAGTTTCTTTGACAATGAGAAAATGATAATAATACGTTGAGGTATGGCAAATGTGGTTATGCGAATCCAATAACCGAACAAATAAGTAAAATCTTGTTAAAAATATCGTGGCAAGATCGTTAATATTGATCATGCTTGGAATGAGAGATAACGATTGGCTCATTCCTCTCCCCCACTACAAAAAGAAAACAAAATAAAAGAAGAAGAAGAAATATCATATCGGGGACAAACAAAAATTTTTACGATTAATTAACGTTTTCTTTTTTTTTTTAAATTTTCAAATTACGTCATTGGTAAGTAATAAAAATACATTTTCAACAATTTCAAATAAATGATATTATTATTATTATTGATAGTATTTGTTAATTCATACAATATAATCTTTATGCATAGACTGAACACGGTCAATAAAATTTATCTCGACCAAAATGATCGATAAAAATGACTTCGTTCAATATCTCTACATTGCCAGGGAACACTCGTATTTCATTTAACACAAAATACTTTCAAAATCTTAATTAAGAAATAAGAAAATATTACAATTTAAAATAATGAAATATTATCATATTACAATAATCGACATTCGCGTCAAATTACAGAAGGAAAAAAGAAAAAAGGAAAAAAATCATTCTGTTATCACATATACGTGCAGTAGAAGAAATTATTACATAAGTCATATTCTTCAAAAGAGATAGAAAGAGATATGCTATAGAAAAGATCGAATTAATCCAACTTTAAACATACGTCCTATTATATCTGTATGTCATGAATTATCATAAATGATAAGACACACATAAGACTCCTCTTCTATATAATTGATACGATCGTTTCAATATGTGTGTGTGTGTGCTAAAAACCAAGTTAATTTTAAATAAAATCCATTTTGCCGATTTTCTCGCATTTACTACTTCATTGCGAATCAAGGTTCTATTATAGTGAGCGCATTGGAATAAAAACGCATAAGTGCGCGCACGCACACAGGCGC